ATCAAAATAGGCACTTCATTCTTGGCATAAAAAGAGAATCACATTTGATCGTGATATTCTATTTTAGTTGAATTAAGCAGCTAACAAAGTACCTAAATGGATCCACTTGATTCAATCGAAGTATCAGACGAAGATATAAACGATTCAATAGAAGTGTCAGATGAAAATATTTATAATTCAACAGAGACATCAGACGATGATTTTGAGAGTTTGGGAAACTCATCTGATGAAGACATCAATTATTCAGTAGTAATATCATACAAAGACGCTGATATTTCATCCGATGATGATTCCAGTTGTGAAAGTAGTTTTCCAGTCGATGAGTTTGATATCGAAAATTTAAGAAATGAAATATATGGAATATGTCCTCAATGTAATGAGTTCAATACTATGTACGGATGGTGTCAATCTTGTGATCCCGAAAAGTTGACTAAAGGATGGACTAGTGAGAATGTAGCAATTGATGAATTTATTAAAACAACACAGTTAGAATCAAAATCTTATACAGATGCTTTTCTTGAATGTATACCATTTGGTAGATTTGAAAATGTTCAGATAATTGGTCAAGGAGGTTTCAGTACGGTTTATTCAGCAATTTGGTTAGATGGCGAAAGGCAACAAAAAGAAATCGATGGGGAATGGAAAAATGTACGTTCTCAACCGATAAAAGTTGCACTTAAAACACTGCCAACTTCTGGAGAAACAATTGATGATTTTTTAAAAGAGGTAAATATATATATTTTATTGAATTTGTTAATATCATATCGGCAGATTTGTGGAATTTGATAAATAGAAAAACCCACGAGCCGTAGCTTTGGTCAAATTTACAGTTCATTTGGTTGCTTTGAAGTCAAACCATGACAAAATGATTTGCAAGATTTAACCAGAGTTACAAATCCGCCGATATGTTTCTCTATATTAAATAAGTTAATTAATTTATTTTCTCATACGTATAAAAGCTTCAAGTATATTATGCAAATTCGGATAAATCACATCATTTTCTCAAAATGTATGGGATAACATATGATCCGAATTTAAAAGTCCATATGATGATAATTGAATACTGTGATAATGGAAATCTTAGGAATTATTTAAGAATAAACTTTTCTAATTTGAAATGGAAATCAAAAATTGAATTACTTTCTGAAATTACCAATAATCTATTTTATATACATAAACATACAAATTTATTTCATGGAAATTTTCATACTGGTAATATTTTATTGATAAAGGACTCTAGATCAAAAATTTCGGATTTTGGATTAGCACACTCTATAAAAAAATTAAATGAAACTGATAAAAGAATATTTGGGGTGTTACCATATATTTCTCCAGAGGTTCTAAATGGATATGAATATACTCAAGCAGCGGATATTTATAGTTTTGGAATAATCATGATCGAAATAGCGACAGGAAAACAACCATTTAATAATCTTTCACATAATACAGAACTTGCGCTCAAGATATGTCAAGGATTACGTCCAGAATGCGCTGAAGGGGTACCAGAATGTTATATACGATTAGTTAATAGATGTTTAGATTCAATTCCTGAGAAACGTCCAACTATTGATGAAATATGGAATATTATTTTAACCTGGGATAAAAGTTGTAATTGGAAAGTTTCATACTTAGACGATGAAAGGCTAAAAATTAGAAAGGAATTTGAAGATGCAGATAAATTAATTTCAGAAATTGCTGCAGCTACTTATCCTACTTCAAATATAGAAGCTGTATGGTTTAGTCGTTTTTTATATTTACCAGATCTTGCGGATAAATTATCGAAACTAACCCTTTAGATAATTCTTTCGGTAATATTGTACATTTTAAAATTTTTTTTAAATTTATTTTATTAATAAAGAATTAAGATTTGAGAGTTTAGACGAATTTAAAAATTTTATTTAAATTTTTTTTGTATATTAACTATATAATGAAATAAGACACTAGCGTTTTGCGAAATTTAGCTAATATTTGGTCACCGAATTTAATTATAGCGCTTTGCAAAAAGGTGTGACCCCATGATTTTCTTTGTGATGATGTGGGGAAATTTTAAATAGAGAATTT